CTTCGCGCGCAGTAACCGAGACACAGCGAGTGACGCCGCTTTCCCATTTGGAAGTTAGCACGGCCGTCAGTTACAGTAAAAACCAGCAGCTTCCTCTGGAAACACCCACAAAACACCTGTTTTGAAAGCATCTGTCAGCTTAGGTTTATAATAAGCAAAATGACAAAGCATTTTAAAGATGTTTTAAAAAAAATAATTTTAGCAATATAACATTTAGTTTGTTGTTTTTCCACTTGTATTTCTAACATTTTCTTTGCAAGTCCCTCTTTACAATCACCTACCTTAGAAGTTTCAACAGATACAAGTTTGCAGACAAAAGCTTTTAAATACTTATTAACTATGGGATATTTAAGACTTTTTATATGGGCATAAGTTTGGTTGTTCACACCCTCCCTTCCAGTAGCTGCACGCCGAAGAAAACTGCAACTCGCTGGTATGTTTATTTAATACTTTAGGCATTGAAACTGAACAAGTAAATTAGTTGCAAGGAAAAATATTTAAATATAAATTTGGTCAAGTACATTCTCCTCACAGAGGACTAACCATTTGCCACAGACCTGTGTGCAAAGAGAGCCTATGAACAATTTTTAGAGCATGGAAGCATACTCTAGGGCAGAGGATTACTACCAGAAGTTTCAACCTAAAAAGATAATAAAATAAACACAAATTAAGCTCTGAAAAACAGAAGCACCAACTACAGTTGTCTTGTCGGTCATCACTACCCCAAAGCTATTACAAAAGCTCTACTAGGCTTCTTCAAGTAAATTCTTAGCAGGTAGAGATCAATACAGCTCTACTGAAGTCACTGGAATCTGTGACTTCATGAGACCTGATGTACCCCTAAGCATGGCTCCAGAAAAGCTACTGCATGTACTTATCACAAAAACATAGTAGAATAATGGCAGGATTACTTAAATAAAGATACACAAATACTGAATAATACAAGAATACAAAAAGTATGAACATCACAGAATGTTTGTTCAACGGTACTGCTATTTCTAACCAACTGTAATTTTTAAAAAGTCTACCATTCAATTCAGTACATAGTTGAAAAGCTACAGAAGAAGAATAGATTTATAAAGAGAATTGTTCCAGTTTTTAAGTAGAAAATACAAGTTACATCTTCCAGTTTGTATTAGTCCTAGCAAATTTCATACAGCCTTTGGTTTCAAACCAATACAATGCAATTACCATTACAGTGCTTACTGAGTATTCATTAGGAGAGGAGGCTGTACAATTGAGGGAGAATATGTGAAAAACAGGAGTACCAAAGTACTGTATTATAGAAAGTAAAGGCTGAAGCAAAAATACTCTTCGGTATATCCTGTACATCATGTAAACACACATTCAGAATAGTAAACAGGCTAAAATGTCTTCCAAACCCCCTAGTTACAGTATAGCATACATATACATATATAGCATATATAACATCATCTTTAGGAAATGTAGCCCATTACATCCTAATTCTGTGCTTAACTCGTTTGCTATTCAGACAATACATTCATATATTAGTAGTACATCTCATTTACTATTTGGAGTGTGCTGGTTGCCATAGACAAGGACAGATCAAATAATACTGAGCCTTGCTTTTAACTCAGATACTGTCAGTATAAAAGCAATGCTCAACTGTTGCTCTTATAGAGATGGTAGTATCTTTTATAGAAAAGAGAACCACTCTTTTTGTTACCAAAGCTGAGAATTTTCAGATTTATGTATAGCAAATCAAGCTGAAATTCTGTTCTCTGCAGAACAGTAGTTTTCCTAATTATTTTTTTGTTAATTGGTTAGAGCAAGTAAACTTCTATTTTAAAAAAGCAGATATGGAAATTACCAGTAAGCACACACACAAAAAATAGTACTTGTATATATCATTCAGTCTCTTGTTTGTTTTGGTTTTTTTTAGAGTTTTGGACAACACCACTTGGAAAAGAGACCAAGTTTTTTGAACACTTTAAGAAGCAACTTACTTGCTCACCTAAAACAAAGAAATGAAGTAAAATTAAGAAACTCTTCCGTTATTTATCAGATTGGCTTATAATAAATAGCATTGTGACATAAGCAAATCCACTGTAGCAAAATGTTATAGAGTAGTACTAGCATGAATTAGGTATTAATGCAAGAAATTAAGCTTAAAGATGTTTGTGATCCTGTTTGTAAGAAAGATCTCGGTGGCTCATAGCATGAATTTCTTCTAGTGTTAAAATCTTCCTCATGCCTGGGTAAATCATGACTGACTATCTCTTTTCAAAGCTTCTAGCCTTTGTAGTAATGCATTTCCAAACACCTCTCGATATGCAGGGCTGAGGGAGTCCAATAAGGAGTAGACAGTTTCATGGTACGGAGTTTGCAGTCTGTCATCAGTCTGATCAAAATCGTAAGCTACTACCTGCAACGAAGAAATCACTGGTTAAATTTCTGTAGTTTGGACCACCTTGCAATGGGAAGCAGATAGCACAGCATTTAACTTTGCCAGTCAGGGTAGTACAGCAATGCCAGAACATGGAACAAAAGATACTGGATTTAAATCACAATTTGTGCTTTCTGGTATGGTGCTTAGTGGTAGCACAGTAATTAGACACTTTCAAATACCTTTTGTTCAAAACACACAATGTTAGGAAAATCTATCATTATGACCTTTGAAAAGAGGTCTTATATCTACGTTTGTATAAAAAATGCAAAGGATGCAAAAAGGAGTTGCATACACACTGTATTACTGACTTAATCTGGGTACCCGAGAAACTCAGAGACTTGCATGCTACTAACAAACTGCTGCTTCAATCTTCATCATTTTGTGTCTCAAATAAATGCCTGGGTTGTCATCTACTTCCCTATCTGCTTTGTTGGATCTAGCCAGTTAAAGTTCCACTTTCCAGGAGAAAACGTGGAATAGGCTTTCATGAAAGTAAAAGAGCAATTTGTATGCTGTTTTAAGGTCGCTCAAGTATTTTTCCAGGCACATGGTGAGCATGATCACCGTTCAAAACAGAGGCTTAAGAAATTACAAACAAATTGGTTTACCCTGAGTCCTGCTTCAGTGAGCTCCAGGCAGTATCTGTTCCTTTCCCTTGTTTCCACATTGATATATGCTACGTCCTCCGCGCAGGGAAGGGTTTTTGAGACAAACATGTTGCTGACAGCGAACAGAACATCATTCACAACAGCTTCAGCTTCTAGTCTCATATCTTTCACATCTGTTCCTTCGAAGTCTCTAGAATCAGAGTCCTCTTCAAAACCCGTATTATTGGGCAACTCCATAGGATTGCAATCAGTCTCCATTCTGCATATGGAAACATTTATTTTAGATTTATCATACCACTGCACTCAATAGATATTAATAGCATAAAACAAGAGTTACATTTTAAACAGGTATATGTAACATTGTCCAAGAAAATGAAAATGTGAGACCCAGTGACTTCCATAACTCATGACACAGTCCAGAGAACTCAAAACCAAGATGCTTAAGGTTACATTAGCACATAGAAGGAGAATCAATATCACTGAAGTTGCTTCTTCTTAGGCAAGTGACTTGCACTCCGTTGTATAAGATACTGTTATGATTCAGCAGCTACTTTGCTGATCCAGAATGCAGTACCAAGACAAGTCATGCCTGGAAAAACTGAAATCAATAGCTGTAGAAAATACAAGAACTATTTGTGGTGAATTTAATAAAGACTTAGAAAAGTCTGTGAACTAAATGGCTTATCAGCAACTACAAAGACTTCTTAACAGAAGCTTTTTGTTTAGTTACTAAAGACTAATTCTCCTGTTGGCTTTAATGCACAAATGTCGATACATTTCCAAGACACGTATAGTTGGCCTTTGCAAACAGCTTCTTCCAAAAAGGGAGGCTCTGGAGGGGTCACCGCTGTGGCTCCTGCATTTGCCCCTTAGGGACCTGTCTGGCCACCAGGCCTCAGCTAATTTACACCCGCAGGAAAATCTGCCCAAGGCCAGCAGGGATGCCTTGGGACGCTGCCCCAGAGCTGCCGGGAGGGAATGGGGGCAACACGCAAGACATTCACTCGTAAGATAAAATCATAGCATCACAGAGTAGTTGCAGCTGGAAGAGACCTAGAAGATCATAGAATCCAGCCTTTGTCCCAGCC